TAATCCCCTCCCAATACCTTCTGAATACTTCCAAGTTGTCTTTGAATCAAAATTATATATCCAGTTGGAGATTTTTCACAATGTATGTATGTATGTATGCATGTATGTATGAACAATTTTTACATCTGAACTCTGATGCAAAACTTGTGTACGGAGTTCAGTGGAAGTGTGCATGTGGCAAGTGCCCACAGGAATCCGGACGTAAATTAATGTCCGGTGTCCTGAAGCAATAATCGCTCATGTCTATATGTATGCATGTATGCTATGCCAGTGCCTATTTTATAGATTCAATTTTTTTTTTTTTTAATTCTTTTGTTCAATTGTTTTCTTTTCAATCTTTACAGTCTAAGGAAGTTGGGGGAATAGCTGTAGCAGCTGTGCTCTTCTGCAACATCATTGCTGCTGGGTAACCAAACTATTCTTGATCTAATCAATTAATATAACTTAGATGAAATCATCTCTCTAAAACTCATGATTTATTTATTTATTTATTTTTTTTTGGTGGGTGCCAAAATAGAAAAAGCACAGGTGCTTCGATGAACCCAGCAAGGAGCTTAGCTCCAGCCATCATTGCCAACAATTTCAACAAAATTTGGATTTATTTGATATCACCTGTGATTGGGACAATGACTGGATCAACAATATATAACTTCTTAAGTATTTCCAAAAGTATTGAAGACAAGAAGATGCTGATGGGGGCAATTCCAGATGCAGATAACAACGTCGCTGCCATGGAGACTTTTCCCCATTCAGGTATAGAATTAATTTACCTCACATTTTCATTATTTTAAGACATATTATATAAGAAATAGGATTACAAATTTTCCTTGTAACTTGTAGGAAGCTCTGTGGACATTCCGTGATTTCCTTGGGATCTCTCTGCTTCCGAGCACAAGATTGAAGATTTTATTTGCTTGTCATTAGAGATGATGATGTTCACACATTTTTTACAAGAGGATTCTTTGGTTCATTAAGTTGTATTTTAGTAGATTCAATGTAATGATGATTTATAAAGACAAAGAGAAGGTAGGGTCAAGATGTCCATAGCTTATATGATTATCTGAATGAAATCATTGATTTTGATGTTTACAAACCCCACACACACACACGTTTGTGAAGGCTTTGAGTGAAAACTTTGGATGGAGTTTAAAATTTGAGTGATTAAAATAATTTATCTAATAATTTGGGAGGTTGTTATGTAAAATCTAATTTTTAAAAATGGCTTAAAATCATTGCATCGTGTGTCAAATAGCTTCTAGATATTCAAAATATATGATTAGAGAATGTCCAATATAATGATTAAGCTTTGCTAGATCATTTAGGATGACAACATCATTGGGCTCTTGTGCTTGAAAAAAGGCTGTATTTGTAATTGTTAGACAAAGAATGAGGCAGTACACTAAATTAGAAATTAGCTTTTTTTTAGTCTTGACACTTCAAGGAATGAAGAGAGCCTAACATTTTTTTTCCATTACAATCTCTACTCCCAGCTCTTTCGAAGAGAATCTCAGAAGAAGTGTGTTATATGATATCAGAAAATGTCTCTCATAGGATTTTATTGAGTCATTGAATGATGGAGAGGGAGCCATCAATATCTACATCTTTAAAAGAGTTTTGTAATGACCGATGAAGTGTTTCTCCCTTCGGTTGGCAAAGATAAAGCGGTGTAGAAAGCCGACCCAACTTGGCAGGGAAGGAAGCATCGCAGTTGAGGATGATCACCAGAGAAAGTGACGAAAGTGCTAACAAAATAAATAGTTTTGCAATATTAAATTCTAAGATTTGAAATATTTAAATGTATGACCAAAAATATCCGACATTAGTAGAAAGTTGCAGAGGTAAAGTTTGATAAAATAAAATTAAAAAGATAAATAAATAGTACAGATATTAAATACTAGTATTTATGCATGACAAAGCTGTAGAGGTACAAGGCTGTCAAAAGACGGGGTCGGGCCAAAAAGGCTAAAATATCCCGTGCTAAACCTTTTAATGCAATGATAATATTATAATTTACTTTTAATTCTCCTATCATCTATAAATTATTTAAATAAAATAAAATAGGGCTTTTCAAGAGTGTTTTCCTCACTCTTTTTTTTTCCATTCACAAGCACTTTCTTGATAGTAATCGAGCAGATTCAGATTTAGTAATATAATAATGCTTCTATAATATATACTATGTAAGAACCCCTTGTGTTTTTAAAATCTGGGCACTATTTGTTGAATTTAGCGTAATTTTGTGTAAATCATCGCTTTGTTTCTAATTTTCCAAAAATTATAATTTTCGGACTCTACGTCCGGAGTCTAATGAATCATTTTCACGTGAAACTGACAGAAAAAAAACTTTTTTTCTTGTGATCCGACCCGATAACACAAGGAAATATTCCTCCCGTGTTATTCCACGTTATTCAGGTGTTATTGTGGTGATATTGATGTGTTATTGTGTTATTATAACACCAGAAATATTATCAAAACACAATAATACATGAATACTATCACAATAACACTTGAATAACAGAAGACACGAGAGAAATATTCTTTTGTGCTAAACTAATTTTTTTAAAAATTTTCTGTCATGATTTTATTGGGCTCGAGACTTATCTCTAAGTCCTGAGTCCAATATTTGTTCCTAATTTTCTTATATATAACGAGGAAAAAGTACTCCCAAAATACTCGCAAAGCAAGCAAAGTGTGGAGTGTCCTGATGTAATATTCTCAATAACTAGGCACGAAAGCTGGGTGATGCCGCGCCCCCACCAAAATGAA